AGGAATGAGCACGCGGTGCCAGTGTGGCGCAACAGCTTCATTAGCTTTAGGCTTGGAGCTTGTAGAGGTTTGCAGGCGGTAGGAAGAGGAGTTGATGTGGTAGGAAGAAGAGTTGAGGTGGTAGGGATCCAATAGTAGATCGCCGATTTGAAGTAGATCACGTACAGAAATGAATGCCGCCTGTCGATCTAGTCTGCTCTTGCGTATTCCACACCAATGATTTCTTAATCCTCAGGCCGTCGAAGCGTGTCCTGAAGTCAGTCTAGTCGGTTCCCACCAGAAGATCGGTCGGTATCAAACGGACGGGCTTGTCAAATTCACAGCGCGCTTCGCCACGCATTTCGAGACAGACAGGTATAGAGGCAGGCGGGAAATGGCGTCTCTCCGCTCGCAATTGAACGGGGACCTTCTGTTTACAAGGTTGGTGAGCCAAACTGCTTCCAGTATCACTAATAAAACTGTGGGACGGCGGGTATACGCTCTGGTTCTGTGCTAGAGCGATTGACTCAACAAACACATGGCGAGCAAAATGGTAAGATGAATATGTACCAAGGACTGGGGATATGAGATAGAGCCGAGCGCGGGTCAAGAAAGCGGCTTACCGATCGCGATCGAGGGAGGCATAACGATCGCAGGTGGGCGCAGGGGGCAGGGAATGAGACGAGGCAGCACGAGGAACAAGAGTGGCAGCAAGAAACTCAACGATGAAGCCACCCCAGCGAGTGAGATGTGCGGCATTTGTTATGGAGCTCCAAAATGCGATCCAGCAAGACAAGTTACGCAGACGCGCGCAAAGGGTGCTGCAACGACGGCACAGCGAGGAAACCCTTGCGGGTCTACGTAGGCACAAGCTCCTGATCTCGAGTAGGAGTGTTGGAAGTGCAGCTGTGCACGGGAGGTAATCACCATCTGGGGATCCGGCTACAACACCAGAGTTATATCCGACGGTAGTGCTTTTTTGAGATATCCTAGAATTTTGTTTTTGTAAGACGCCTACTTAGGAGCTCATATCTTGACTTGCGGTGCCACTGAAGGAAGCTAAAGCATGCCCTGCAAACACTTTGTAAAGAAGTCGTCGCATCCATGCATTTTTCTCCTTTCGACACAGATTGGTGATGAACGCTGCAGATCATCGGCATTTGATGAGAATACCACAAAGTATGTGCCTGCGTTCACTTTAGCATAGTTGTTTTAGCGAATAAAAGTCCGAGAAAACAAACTTGTTTTTCGCTTGAACTCAAGCTCAGTCAGTTTCTTTTTTTCTTCTTTTTTTTCTTTTCTTTTCTTTTTTTTATTGCTAAAATGATCAACTGAGTCCATGAAATCTTAGAAACCATGTTCTGACCGTAAGAAAAAGGACCAACACTCGATTTTGAAACGGCACATCTTGCGCAACCAAGCTTCCTATTGGCCAATAGCCAAAAACGGAACAGAAAGAAGTCATTTCACGCGATTAAGTACAAGTTAATCACTCTTAAGTACGAAAAGTGATTTTTTTTCTGGCCCTAACTCGAAAACTACCAGTGCTCCATGGCTTAAGTTCCACCACTACTCTTAGAGTATTGTCGTCTTTTTGTATGCTAGGCTGCTAAACCATATTCAACATAATGAGAGGCACAAATCATAGTTGATCTCCAAATAGTGTCAATTCTTCTCTTGATCGTAAATGGAAGCCCATGTTGAAAACGAATTTTGGCCTTAGTAGCATTGGATAACGAGTTTTGGTCCTCTTTCTAAAACAACTTTTTTTTCCTACATTTTATAATAGCGTTTATCAAGAAGACATTCTGACTATTCTTCTGTTCTCGAGTCGCATTTGTCCATACGACGTCTCTTTTCGACCTCCTTCCTATAAAACAGCAGAGTCTGAATAGCGTCTCGACCACGGGTATCTGTCGGTGATGCAGCCCGTAACCCACTTAAAGATCTGCCATCGGTTCCGGCATTGTGTTTGTGTCCGTCTTGAGTCAAATCGCTTTGGTGCTTCAATTTCGATCGTGATGATACAGTACCTTTTGATAGTCGATCTAGCAGCTCGCTCGCTTCCGACGGTACCACATACACTGGAGCTGGGGGCTGATACGAACGCGACAAAATTTGATGGCGAAGTGTCTTGGTGGGTGCTGGAGGCACTTGGGTGGAAGAATTCCAACCTTGAATGGATGGCGTCTTCTCGTCTTGAATGGGTTTGTGCTCAATGGTGGGTGATCTTGACCGAGAAAGATCAACACCTTTCGCTGTCCCTACAGTTGGTTTAGGATTTGAGATCGCTGCCTGGAGATTTCCACTGCTCAATCGCTTTGAGAAAGACGATTGAGATGATGACTGGCGAATGATTGCTCTATTTTGCCGACTTACTCGCGCTTTGCCTTCGTCAGAATCGAAAAACTTCAGCAACTCCGACAAGTTCGGAGGAGGTGGGAACCCACGCGCGGACATCGTGCCCTTGGCACTTCCCTCACTGGTGCTCGAGTCTTGTACAGCACAACCCAAAATACCCCATCGTAACTGAAGAATCGCAAGTACTCGAATGCAAGAATAGTTATTTTCTATTCTGTTGATCATGCGACATTGTAGCTAATTTTTGTCTGTCCCTTAACATGTAGGCAGCTCACAGTGGATGAACTGAGAAGTTGAGTTAAATACTCGCGATAACAATGTTAACTACCGCTGCCGCTGATCTGGATTCGGATTTCTTCGAGGAACCTGCAGCATCAGGAGGTGACGATCGAATCGAAGCCGATCGCGTAGTGTTTGCTCGATCTGCTTCCATCCGTCGACTCTCATCTGCCACAATAAGCCGGAAAGGATCCCTCCGACGGTCGTCTTTGCTGCTCGGTGCCTCGGCCCCTCAACTTCCTTCGTCGTCACCACTGCGACGTCCAGCGACAGCAGCTGCCACAACACACAGCCGTGTACATCAAGCTTTGCGTGAGAATGACAACAGTTTCGAGTTTTCTATCAAGGAGGCTACATTGGATGGGTTGCTTTATTCATCGCGATTCCCGATCAAAGAAATCACGACCCGGAGATCTTCTTCAGCGTTTCTTCGCAAAGACAAGAGCGATATACCCGAACGTAAGAACAGTAGCGACGATCCAAGCCATGAAAATACTACGGAAACTACACCTGAGATGGATATCCAGGCGAAGAAGAGGGAACGGCGACGGCAGCTCTTGGCAGAGCGAGAACGGGCTCGGTCTGCTGCGCCTACGTTAATGTCCGGATCCAGCAGCGAATCAACGGTCAAGACAGTCACAGTGATAGATGAATCTGCATTTATCCTTCGCAAGCGGCGCTGCGCTAAAACGTTTGAAGATATGATTGCTGCTCGATTGAAGCCACATGATGGCACGGGTGACACAAAATCTAGAGGTAAAAGTGCAGTCGATTCGATTCCTGAAAGTGAGGGAGACACTCGATCTCCAAGAATCGATAATGGTGTTGACAAATTGTTGGAGCACGGCATCATTCAGTCCGTGCTGGCACTGAGCACAAGTTCCGACGCAGCTACCCAGGGACACTGTTGCCGAGCGCTTTATTATTTGTCGCGGTTTCACGCTGCTCGAAAGCCCATGATTACTCAAGGCGTCGTTGCTAGTCTCAAACAACTCTCACGAACTCCTTTACCCGCTCCCCGACAAGATATAGCAGCAACACTATGTCACTTGTCTGAAGAAGACAATGCTGTGGAAGCTCTGTTTTTCGAAGGAATCGATCGTTCGCTATTACGTTTGATCACATCTCCAAGCTGGGAAACCAAGCGCATATGTGCAGCTACAGTGTTTAATCTATCGGCAGATGCACGGCACATCCGACACTTCAGAGAGGGTTTCTCTCAGCTGCTAATCGCAGTAACGAAAACCAACGGAGGAATCAGTGGCAGTAGCCTCTTGAACACAGTAGATACTAATTCTTCATCGACGTTCTTGATCAAGGCGATCTACAATACTTCCCTGGTACCAATGTTCCAAAGCGCTCTGATCGGAGAAAATATTCCTCGGTTTTTGGCAACACACATTCCGTTGGTACCCCCAGTTATTCAAAGCTGGGCACTCCGATCGTTTATCTCGCTGTGTGAAGTGCAGACCAATCGGCAACTCCTAATCTCATCTCAATTTTGTGAGCTACTGGAGTCCATGTTACTTTCCACAAACGAAGAAATTCAAGAAATCACACTCTTGATATTGTTGCAGTTGTCCACCGATGAAGGAAGCCGCATCAAGATCTGCAACTGGTTGCCCATCAGCTCGCTGGTCCGGAGTACCACCCAGCATATTAAAAATACCAAGTCTCGCTCTACGGGAAACCGAGACCTGGTGTATCTGCATTCCTGCATCCTACGAAACTTGAGTGATAGTGTGCTAACGCACCATGATCTTATTCAAGAGGGCGCTGTTCCGGTGTTGCTGGAAATGAGTCGGATGTCTGAGCCAACCGTCAAAGTGAATGCCATTTGCTCCTTTTGTTACCTAGTTTCGAGCTCTACAGATGAGGTGGCGATCCACATTCCAGAGCTGACAGAACTACTACTGACGCTGACGCAGTCGACGAACTCGCAAGACTGTGTGTTCGCTGTGGAGTCGCTCTACAATATTTCGTGCTGTGATGACTGTGTTCCTGTGCTTTGCGAATCCGAGTCTCTACTGGATCGGTTGCTACAACTTGCTACTGATCCTGTCCATAAACAAATAGCAGAGTTGGTTGCTGCTATTGTTTACAGACTGGCAGGTATGGTAAGTTGTGCTCCACGATTATTGAGAAGAGGATTCCTCTCGCAACTGGTACATCTCATTCGCCAATACCCGACCTGTCGAGCTTACGCTTTGAACGCGCTTTTCTTATTGGCTAGAAATGGTGGAGACGACTTTCCTCATGGCGGTGATGAAATGACACAGCTTGTTCTTGCTCTACTAAGCAACGGTAATGAACTTAAGATGGCGGCGAAGATATGGATGAAACCAGGTATCTCTGCACGGCTCGTGAAGCGTAAAACCAATCTCGATATTTCTCAAGGTGATCCAGTGACTATTCGAAGTGGTGTCACCTTATTGGCACACCTTGCGCACCACCCAAAGAATCGAGCCGCCCTTGTTCGCAATGGAGCAGTGTTTCGATTCTTGAAGAAACTTAACCGGTTAAAGCCCAGGGTAGACCCAAAAGGAACTACCGATGAAAATGATATTATATGTATTGGCGGAGAGAACGAGGACGAAGCAGCAGAGTATGGGAGTGATGATGACACGATTCTGACCAACTGTGCATTCGTTTATTACTGTCTGACTGCTTCTCAGGAGGGATGCGAGTTTCTCGTGAAAGAACGTGGAGTAGAAGATCTCATTAACCTATCACGGATTCGAACTAAACACACTGGGACGAAAGCTGAGGTCGGTGATGGTGGAGTTGCGTATACCATGAAGGAGCTGTGTACCCTAGCTTTATGTCGCCTATCGTCCTACACTGGACTTGAAGCACGACTGATTGAGCAAGGGGCTATTCAAACTGTGATGGTGTTGGCACTCGTAGCGACCGACAGTATCACGATCAAGGCGTTGTGCATTATGACGCTTGCAAACTGTCTCGTGGACGTCACACCGAATTGTTTGCAGTCGCTCGTTGGCCACGGAATTATATGGGCACTCTCCTCATTGTGTACTGTTGAATACCCCGAGGTCAGCTACGTGTGTGCAGTTTCGTTGTGTAATCTGTCTGCACATCCCAACAAAATCCCAAAGTTTCTGGATGCTGGCGCACCAAAAGCACTGGTTTATCTACTCTCTCATAGTGGGGGAGCTGATGCAGCTGAAGACGCTGCCATCGTGCTCGTGACGGTGAAAACTATCGCGAACCTAGTTGCAAATGAGAAACTTTGTCAAGCTTTCTTGAATGAAGGACTCGAGAAGCATTTGAGTATGCATTTCTCGTCTCCTGAGAGCAGCGAAGAGCTTCGACAGTTAGCTGCGATGGTTCTATTGCGTGTTACTAGTGCGAATGATGCCGTGATATCACCAGAGAGAGTCAAACTCACGATGCTCCTTTGGATGGAACAGATCATCGACATGAAAGATGAAGATCTGGTGCGTAATTGTATGCTTACAGTGCACGACCTTACGAGCAATTCATCACTGGATGTGGCAGAGCTCGATGTTCCACACATTTTGCGGATACTGGTTCAAGTTCTTCAGCGTCATCACATCCACAACACGCACATTGTGACGCTTTGTCTCTCTGCGTTGTACAACTTGTCGTGTCGATTGGCAGCTCTTCCGATGATCGTGCAGTCCGAAATCATGCCTTTCTTGCGCCAACAAGTGCCATTAACAGAAACAACGTTGGCAGGACAGCGGCGAAAAAGTACGAGTTCAGCTCACCCTGCACTGCCATCTACGATTGCTAGCTCCAGCAATTCTGTTAATGTCCAGCTGTGCTGTCTCGTCCTGCACAACTTAAGTTGTTACCATAATGCAGACGACGAAGGTGTTCTAGCTGCCCTTGTGTCGTGTCACGTTGTCGCTACCCTGCACGATATTTACTTCGGACCAAACGATGGACTCAAGGAGACAACTGCTGTGGCAATCTCTAACATCGCCATTGGGAAAGTGAATTCCACCCGCGTACTCGAAGATCATGCCGGTCGTGTGTTGCTACACTTTATTCGTAGTGAACACTTCATACCAACTCATTATCGTCTCGTGGCAGCAACACTGCGGAAGCTGAGTAATGCCCCTGGCAACCAGAACTACTTGCTCAATGCACACATTGCAAGTGCGATGGTTTATATGTTGGATCTGCCCACTATGGAAAGTGATGCCAGCTCAAATATCCTCGCGGCATTGTGTCATTTATCCAGTTGTAAGGCACATCTTCCACGGCTTCTACGTGATGGCGTCTTACCGTGCATCGTTAGGCTTGCCGACCACCCCAACGCCACAGCTGAAATGGTTAGCTATTGCTTCGAACTCATCTCGAATCTCTGCAGTATTGATTTTCAGGAGTACTTGAAGGATTGTCCCGAGATAAACGTCATTGGAACATTGGCTAAGCTATCGGATCATCACATGCAGAGCCATCACCACCAACATATTCTGCAACAAGCACAACAGGAACTCGCGACCTCGCTAGCTTCGTATTGTGCTAGAGGAGAAGAAAGCTCTCATTCCCTGCCTTTACCAGCGCTGATCACAAATTTGATGAAAAGTGCCACCTTCACGACTGGAGCTGCCAAGAAAACACTGCAGCTCAAGGCTAATTACACTGTTATTGCTCGAAAATGGAGTCCACAAGCGCAGCCTAAACCAAAGGACCCCCCACCGCTGGTTTGCAGGGAGATTTTACCCACCGACAATGGACAAGTTGTCTCTCCGGAGGTGAAACAGCGTATTGGGTGCTTCTCACCGCTTCCAAAGGAACCACTTGTCCGTGATGAAAAGAACGATGCGATGGTCGCACCGCCTGTTAGTGCTCCAAATCGAACTATGTTAGCTCGGCGCAATAGCATACGAAGCTTCGGTGTCGGTGGTCTGCGCACACGATCAAGGAACACCTCGATTGTTGGTGCTGGGAAAGTTCTTCAACGTGCTCGCGAGACTCGACATCTTCCGAAATAGCGTTCTGCTACTGAAAACTAGACGCCATGAACGCACAACGTTGACGTATGTTATGAACGCGACTCAAAACTTTAAACAACGTGGTCTGTCGTTTTGGCACCGGTGACTGAAAATCGGATGACCTGTTCGTGTCTTGTACTTACACTGTGAGAGATGTCTAATTACGTGCACCAGAGATAATAAACATTTAGGGATCACTTAAGCTTTTTTTTTTCACGTCTTAACTGGAGGGTAAATATCCCCAATAACGATTTCGATGGTCGTTAGGAGTGATTTTGCAGTGTACGGATTCTCCTCCAAACTCGATATGTTTATTCTTCTTGGCATTTTTTTTTAAAACGAGTTTGAATTTTGATCGATTTCTTATCATAAATCAAGGAATAAAGGAAATGCACGCTACCCATCCTGTACTTGCGTAGGCTTGACACTCAAGTCTCTTGGAGTACATGGGGGTAGACCTTCGCCAGTTTAACCCATCAGAACCGAGAGCCCGAGCGATGCGATCAGCGCACCAACCGTAATAGCGAGGCTTGCAGCACTGGAGGTTGAGGTCGGGGTCGGCGCAGGTGTATTACCATCAGACGTGCTGCCATCAGATGCACTGCTGCTTCCAGTCGACGCACTTCCTTCGGAGGACGACGTCACTGTGGCCTTCACTAGCGTCGGGAACTTAAACGAGCTTGGCGCCACCTCGCAGCCAGACGCAGCAGCCTCACATACAGTGCAGATCTGACCGTACAGGTCACGCTTGCAGCCGTGAGTTGCAGTAGCACACTTCTTGATGTTTTCGTAGCATTTGGGGTTTTCAGTAACAAGATCTGCCACGGCAGGAAGTGACTTCATGTTACCAATGACGTCACTTGTAATCTGGGATGAGGTTTTGCTCGTGAGCATGTCTTCATAGACTTTGAGCAGCGTTTGCGTGCGTTTCGTGTTCGCCGATGTGTCGGTTGGGTTATCCCAAAACGGAATGCTCTCAACGAAGGCCTTGGTATCTTTGTCCGTCTTGAACTCAATACCCCCTTCGGTACAGAATTCAGAATAACTGGCATAGGTCGCGGTTTTGGCCTTGTTCTGAAGGCTTGTGATCCCGACAACATCGTCGATTGGGACGTACCCAAGCACACGGTAGTTGTACGTGCATTTGATACCGTCCGGCAGTGTGTTTGCATCGCAGAGGCCTTGACGCGTACTCGCGCGGCACTCGGCAGTTTTAGCACTCCATGGTTGCAGCGGACATGTGTTAGGGAACGAATACCACCAACAATTCTGGTATGGCGCACGAGCATCAGTCTCTTTGAGACTCCCACCAACAAATGGTCCGACGTTAGGAACACCCAAGGTGGAGTTACCATTGAGAGAGAGGCATTCCTCTGACTCTGTTCCGTTGACTTGGTTGCACCGGCCTCCGTCCATCGCTAAGAATGAACCGTACTCATCTTCGTATTCAGCCAAAGTTTCATTGGTCTGCGTAAACACGATATCGTAAAAAACGACATACTTCATCTTGTTCTTGCGCTGGCACGCTACAGATTGATACGTGACGTCGATGCCTTCGGCTTGTACATACATCAGTGAGCCTTCCACGGAGGCGGTGTTGACAGTGTCGAGTAAGCCGCGGAACTGTTCTTCAGCTGTTTTGTAGTAAGTCGAGCCGAACATCTTGGTGGTCGCATTCCACAGAGGAGCGTCACTCTGCACACGGGCCTGCACCACGTGAACAGGCTTCATATGGTACGAGTCGGAGTTCGCAATCTTTGTGAGAGCGTCGATCCAGGCGGTAGCACCAGAGGCGGTGGATAATGTGACAGCAGCCACAGTGATGGGAGCGAAAATCTTCATGCTGGTGCTTGAGTTCTGGGAAGAGGTTTATTTCACCAAGAGCTTGCTTCGACGACTTGTTAAAGACAGTTAGTTGCTTTGTCGACTGCGACGTTTGTTGGGGAATGAGAGAACTTGATCTATCTAATGCATTGTCCGCTCCGTGGGCGGAGATACTAATTTTGGCTGCTACATGGAAGCACCACTTTGACAACCATGGGGTCAAATATAAAGCATTTCGAATCGATCGAGCCTCCAAAGATAGGAAAGCAACCTTACTACAGTAGCTACCGCAGCCACCGACCTCTGCCTGCAAAACGGAGTGGACAATGCTTCCTCCGAGTGCTGACAGCTAAAGTAAAAAAAAAAAAATCTGTAGAGGGGGAAGAGGGCTACGCGTAGGCTGGGAAAGCTAGTTTTATTTGTTCTAAATTGTATTGTGATTTCCGTCTAAATTTGCCGATTTGGGTAGGACAATCGCCCACATACAAACCCAAGTCATTAGTAGACCCACCACGCCACATGTCATGATCTTATTTCGTACTTAAACAGGTCAGAATACGGAATTGTAAACGCTGGTGGAGGTTCATTCAAAGAACCGCCCATGGAAATTTGAGTAGAACTCACAATAGTGCATGCATTTTCATGAAAAACACTTTCTCGAAGCGAACGATAAAAATACATTGAGAGCTTTATGTATGCGGTGGTTTTACATATTCATCGATATATCTGAAACGTTTCTTGGTTGGTGGAATCGCAGCAAAGTAGTATCGAGACTACAGTTCTAGTCGGACTATCCTGCTTTTTTCTTCGTTTTTGTTCCTCAAGGTTTCTTTGTTGCTGAAAGACGGCAAAACGAACTTCTATATTGTTATGCCAAAAGCTATTCCAGTCAAAACATGCCCCTAGCAATATCTACGTAGCAACGTGCATCTCCTGCGCCTCCTTCGTGTTGTTTAATTCAGAATTTGAAAAGATAAATTTAAGTTATAACATTTAAGACTGTGGTTGGTGTGTCCTCATGCAATAAGCTAGTGCTTGTATATTCTTTGCCAGTGGCGCGCTATCTACTGAAGCAGCAGCATGAACCACCCATTTTGAGTATCGACTCTGTCCAGATTATTAGTCTGGCTGAAGCTCAAACAGCTTCATTGCCATGAACTACGCATAAAGCAGATGCTGCGGCCGTACATTCATCGTATTTTGAATTGAACTAAGCAAATGTTAATCTGACTCCAGTGGACCTAGTTTTTTTTTTAGGCATCTTCGTCAGGGCAACACCCAGACCGAAGTTAGTGCACGAGGAGTAAAACAATCAACATATACTACAATAGCTCCTATATACAAACAATTCCATTGAAGTCCTTGCTCGACTCCATCTGTAGTGGGCCGGGCAACCGCCCAGATGCGGCCGCAATATCATTCTCAACGGATGCGGCCATAGGACATAACTATGCGATGCGATGCGGTGCGGTCGGTTGAGAATGAGCCTTAATATTTGGTCAAAGATGGTGTCATTCGAAAACACATAGCGCACCATATCTTCTTCACGTATACAATAACACTGCGTAGTCAGTAATACGCGTTTTCCGATGGTCAGAATATTGCTGAATCGGCTACGCTCGCTCGATAGGAATGAGTTTTTTTTTTTTTTTTTTTTTTTTTTTAATGAAATATGGTCTTGACTACACCCTGACTCAGTTACCGTCTCAGTTTACCGGCTAATCTGTTTGGGCTGTTCCAGCAGCACACACTGCTTTCCCAGAATAAACAAAAGCGTACTTATTCCATGTGAGATGCTTTGTCATCCAATGAACAAAAATAGTTTTTTTTTCCGGTAACGTGCGAAAAGTAAAGGATTCATGTCCTGATCCTTAAAAA